AGATACGAACTCGTCAAAGAGACAAGTGAAGTCAATATCTCGACAACCGTTCTGCTGGAAACCGTCGAGGGATTGACTTCTTTTTGAAAAGTTCGTATCTTGGTGCGGCGAATGGCAAAACTCGCTGATGATGCCAACTACGATGCTGGCGAAATGTTTGAGAATGTATCAAGTCCATTGTCAGATGCTGAGAATCATGACAACTACTATGGCAGACGACTTCGGACTAGGTGCGTCTTACATGGTCTCCCTAAAAACAAGACCAAGTTGCGACAACGAGGTCAACCCACTTCTATAAGTCAAAAGGAGACTGCGACCATACCCGAGGTCACAACATCTTGGTCTTCATATATTCAAAGAATGGTTGGCTCATCATCTTTCGTATTGATCCTGCTAATTTTGTTCAAGTGTGTGTGTGTGTGTGTGTGCGTGCATGTGTTAGCGTATATACATACTACCGGTCTCGGCTTGTCTATCTTTAACTAAATAGCCTCCGTCTGAAAATGTATTCCATAGTCAAGAGATATTATTCTCAACTAGGCCCAAAGAATAATTATTTTTAAGGAATAAATTCGTCAGCCGTTCAAACGCTTTAGTCAAATGGTACCAATTCACTAGCCTCACACCTAATAATCATTAACTTCAAAATTCCAACCTTAGTTTTGTAACTATGATTTAAAATAAAATTAAGAAAATAGCCAACATATGTAAAGAGCTATCTCTAATTTACACTCTTCTCAAATGACCGGAACATCCTATAGGGGTAAGGACCTATTCTCTTCAATTTATGTTGTGAACTTAATGTTCCTTTCACATTGGCTAAATAAAAGTAAGAAACAATCTAAACTTCCCTTACCATGAAGCCAGATGGCAAAATAGTCATGCATGTATCTAACCGACAATCTGGGGGTTAGAATTGCCTCTTTAAGGAAGTGTTCCTTAAGTTCTGCCATATAATTATTCACTAAGATAGGAGCTAAACAAGATCCCACCGCAAGTTCTTGTGTTTGTTCACATAACTTACCATCAAAGGTAAAATAGTTGCTACTCATGGATAGGTTAAGAAGTCCATCTATGGACGCTATGCTCAACCTTAATCTTTGTGTGATCTCTGGGTGCTCCTCCAGAGTTTGTACTAGACTGTCTCGAAGAAATTTTAACTGGATATAGCCAAAATTCTGCAATGTTCCTTAGTTATATACATAAAAACGTGAGATTTTATGGATCACGCTTCCTTTATTATTTACAATTCTTCTAAGAGGGAAAATTGAAATTGAAGAGAATAGGTCTTTACCCTTTTTGGACATTCTGATTATCAGAGAAAAGGGTAAGTTAGGAAGAGCTGTTTACAGTAAGCCAAAAGATGTTGGCTGTTTTCTTAATTTTCTTTCAAACCATAGTTACAAAACAAAGATTGAAATTTTGAAGTAAATGATTATTAGGTTTCTGAGGCTAGTGAATTGCTACCATTTGACTAAAGAGTTGGAGCGGATGACAAATTTATTCCTGGAAAATAATTATTCTTAAGGCCTTATTTAGAATAATATCTCTCTACTGAGGAATACATTTTCAGACGGAGACCATTTAGTCAAAGATAGACAGACTGA